GAGCCGATCTGCACTTCTTTAATGATAAATAAGACTGGGTATTCTGTTTTGTGTTTAAAAGACCAGCGTTTGCTTTTCTGTGACCATTCGTGCCCCTTGTCTATTTTTCTATTATACTATCTTTAATTGAATTGTGAAATAATCTCAAATGCAAAGATTTCCCTCTTTTTTGCTAAACAGTTTTGGGAGTTAAATGGTGTCTTCATCCAGGGAGTGAAGTTTTGTGTGCAGTTCTGCTGTCCCACCTAGCACAGTGCTGAGCAGGATCAGCGGCTACACCCAGTACACCCCGGTCTCCCTTCTGGCAGGACCCACCAAGTAATCATGGTTTTACTTATTAAACACGCTGATTTCTGTCAATACATTTAAACAATGCTAAACAATTTCTGCACTTCTGAAATAAATCCTCCTTGCTTGTGGTGTGTCACACCTTTGCTAACAGCACGTGCCTCACCTCCAGGTCCAGGAAGACCTCCTCGAGCAAGCCGCTGCAGCCCTCCTGTGCAATGGCATCCAGGATCCCATCCATGCTCGGCTGGCTTGGGGACATGCCCTCCTCCACTTCATTTTTTAAATACTTTCTTTTTAAACTGACTATGGATTCTCTGTAAGGAAATATTTCAGGTTCAGTGAGAAGCTGAGGAGCCTCATGCTCCCCACTTAGCTTCTGTACTCACTTGAAGGTCTGGCAGTTGTTGATGACAGCAATCATGTACTGCACATAGCAGTGTGGATGCTGCCGGTTCCTCAAGTGCTCCTCCTTGAACAGCTGCGCCTCCTCTTTGTACCTAGGGGCAGTCGCACATCAGGGACCGTCCAGGGACAGCCCAGGGCTGCTTCAAATGCCAAGAAATATGCCTAGACAGAAATTTCCTGCTTGACCAGCTGAGTTTTCAAACACAAATTTTGAGATGATGCATACTAATGGAAGAATAGAGTAACTGATCAATGAAATAGATAGTTAAAAAATAATTTCAGATTGGACTTTGAAATATAATACGGTATTCTAATTGTAAAACTATTCTGAATTAAATCTAAGTATTGAAAAGAACTGTCTTATTTTATCTGATACACAATTTACCCAGAAACACAACTGTTAGGAATTATCATCAGATGCTATGTAAAATGTCCCCTTCAGAAACTTTCCCAAAAGAGAAAACAGACAATTCCCAATTAAAAATAGACAGCTGAAAAGTCATGAAAACAATTAAGACAGCTACACACTTTATTTTTAAACTTCTTATGAGATTATCAAACATACATGGAGTAGAAAAATACCACAATGAATGGTCTGTATACATTTTTAAGACATATTAAGAAAGGAGCAAACAAAATTTGGAGATAAGAGGGAATTAATTAGGCAATTTTTTTGCCTTTCTGTCCAATGACTGAAGGTGATCAGAGAAAGTTCCTCTTTGCAGTGGAACCCACCTCATTGTTGAGAATGACCTCAAAAGAAATGGCTAACTTGGGCCAAGACCGCATGGGTAGGTGAGATAAAGGCCTCAGGCCATGAACCCCATGTATGGACAGCTGATGGGGACACAGAGCAAGGGGGCTTGGCTGCTGGCACCTGAGCCACTAGATACTGTCTGCCGCCCTCCTAAGACATGGAGGGCACACTGGCCAACAAATCAATAAAGGGGGAGCTGAGCATGCCTCAGAGCTGACTTTCAGCTGGTGGGCAGGTGGCAGTTTGAAGACGAGGCTAAGGGACACTGTGAGGATGCTAGACACAGAGGCCTGCTTGTCTCCCCACAGGCAGAGACTGAGGGATCCTCACAGCACATGAGAGGCAGACCTGCCAACCTAACCTGACGCACAACTACACCAACACACGTCTGAGATGGCTGGGAAGCTCACATGCAGACTTGGTGACCTGAGGGTACTGCAGTTACAGTGGAGAATGTGGAAGTAATGCCAGCATCTGGGGTTTGTCTCGAGAGCCTCCGCAGAGGAAGGGATAGGCAGCCTGAAAGGAAAACTTCCACACCTGGATAAGGGGTGAGTCATCTTTTACACCATTCTCAATACTCCAGTATAGGTCTGAAAATCTTCATCACAAGCAGCCCAGAGTGAGGCTGGTGACTGGGTTGTGCCTATCTCACTCCCCCTCTGCCAGGGCCCTCACTAGGAAGACTCTGACAAAGCTCTTCCCCACTTTCTAAGCAATAGAAGGTGATGTGTGAGCAGCCCTCAGCCCTAATTTCTGCGGAGTAACAGGCATGTTAGGATCAACATATTTTTGCTTATTTTTAAAAACATGCAATTTCTAAGTTAGCAGACTGTCTAAAATACATACCTACTTAGGAAAGAATTCATTTGCTGAAGACACAAAACTAGTACCTTTGTTTTCAAATCTTCACTTATCTGAGCAGCAACTTGAAGATTCTGTTCAAACATCTAAAAATTGAAGAACTTATGAATTCTGATGTAATCTGATGAGAATATATGTACAGCATAGATTTCTTGTTATACAAAACCTCCATCTGCTACTTGGTAGTTAGGATATCCAAGTTCAGAG